TTCCCATTTCACTAAAACACTTCTATCTTCTTATTCTTTGTTTCTTTCTTTTATTCATTTTCTCACTGAAACTAAGTAGTGTCTTTTCCCCTCTTTCAATGTGATCAAAATGGAATAATCCCTTATTTATGAGGAATTGGCAAGGCATAATGGTTGTGCAAATTAATGATGGGAGGGCCAAACACAATTATAATAGGATATTTATATTTTATATATGTGAATTAGTGGGACTTACCTTTGTTGTTTTGATTACTTTGGGTTTTTTCAATCTATAGTTACTTTCTTCAATTTACCTGCAAAAGTAGCTTGTCTTGTTCTCAAATCAAAAAAAAAGATTACCAGTTGTAGTATGAACCTGTTGAAGAACAGAATGCATTTGCTAAAAACAACCAAAATTAAGATGCTGGTCTCAACCAGTTAATTTATGGATGAATAACAATACTTTATTGAAGAATCTTTGAACATTAAAATAGGTCAAAAAGGGAATTAGTTCAAATATAAAGATCAAAACAACAAAGATGAAGATATTTATCTTGACAAACATGGAATAATGACAATACTTCATTTTAGAGTTTTAAAAAAAACCTTTATTTAAAAAACACAAAATTGAGATAGAAAAATATTCAATTTCCAACATATTTTGAAGTATTTCTGAGCAGAATTTGTCATATATACATACATATATACACACATTATATACAATTCTCTACATATGTGTGAATGCATGGGCGATACACTGCTCTTGTCAGCTGCCAACTAGGGCAGGTAACACAGTTTCAGTGGCTAAGGCTGTACTACCACCCTTGGTGTCACCAGCAGCTTTTACCATTGGACAGAGTATTGTTTTTGTATACGTGTCAGTATCTTGTGATTTCTTTTTACAACTATAACTGAAATTTTCAATGTTGTGTTAAAATACACAACATGCTTGTAGTGACAGCCATTAATGATGTAGAATGGAATGTAAGCAGATGTGCTTCATGTTGGAAGTTGCACTGTGTTGCAAGCATGGTCTTATTTAACTTTATTTTGGATCTTGACCAAATCCATTTTGATGCCTGTGGTCTGGAGACCATGTGAAGCAGGCTTTAGTTTCTGGCCACTGATATAAAATTTTATATTTGGGCAGCAACCCCTCTTTTATACAGGTTTCAGTGACAATGACTGACAAAGTACCATCATTTTTATATATATATTTTTATTGAATGCATACGAAAGATATCTTTTGGAGTCATAGAGTGTATAAGAATGAACCAAATCATCTTTGCATCCAAGCACTTTCGATTAATCTATCAGTCATTATCAAATACAATGTCTTAATATGTAGATTGTGATGATAATTTTTAGCAAAAGAAATATTTTAACTCCCGAACACAATTAGCACATTGTTATCATGTTCATAATTAATATTATTAAGAGTTGGTTTCTGGTCTTTTATCATTAAGGCTTCTATTATTTTTAAGCATTTTCTGCAGTTAAATGAGTGTAATGTGTCTGTTCTTTCCAGTATGTTGCTAGGTCTCTGTGCATATTTAAATGGGTCCTAATGGAGCTATGATCTAAAAGGGGCAAAGTAAGTCTTCTTGATAAGCATGTAGTTGTATGTCTAACGTAATTATTATTCATGAATTTGCTTTCATCAAGAGCGCAGTTCCATAAGGTGTATGTAAATTTATAAATAATGCTAGTCCTATGTAGTTTGGATCTTGCTGGTGATTAACTGTAAATTTTAAATGCAATGTCAATTGACATCTTCTGTCTTTCTGAAGCTTGTTCTTTTATTGTCCTTTTTCCTCACTAAAATCTGATTCCCTTCCACTCCCAGTAATCCCTTACATCTCAGTGGCATTGTTGCCTTGCTTGGGGTGAAATGATTTTTTTTTAAAAAGTCACAATAATAAAGTACTGATAATTATGGGAATAAACTATTATTCTTTCTTATTAATTATCAATTCATAGGTTAAAGCATATTTTATTAATGCTGAGTAACTAAATGTCATTAAATCAAATTTAAAATGAATAACAAAAATAAAGAAATGACGTGTGTGCGTGTGTGGTATTATTAACAGAAGGAGCAACAATGGTGTTTGCATATGAATAATGATATTCAAAGAGATAAGATAAAAGGTATTATTGTGATATGAGGAAGTATATTGAAGTATCCAAACCTTAGAGACAATAGTACACTGGATGCCAATTGTAGAAAGGATGACATGTGTAAAGAGGTAGTGTAGCTGTGGCAAGAGATGCAATTATTCACTAGGGGATGATTTTGGGAGATAAAAAAATTGGGGTACTCTATCTGTGAAATGGCAACTTCTCTTAAAATAATTTACCAAAATGAAAATGGAATGAGAACAATCTACAGTATGGATAGAATAAAAGTGTTTGATTCAAAATTCCTAAAGTTACAAGTATAATTGACATCTGAAGAAGGACTGAGTACAACAGCTGAAACATTGTTGATTAAACAACCACGATGTATCCAAGAGTAAAGGCAAATAATTCCAACAGAGATGTATTCAGGTAGCACTTCAAAACCTCACTTTAACTCTGATTCAGGCTATAAAGACCAATTCCAGCCAATTTGGGCTGAAATTATGATTCAGACCAAAAATTGAGTTCTTCAAATCACAAACTCTCTGGAACTTCAAAACCTCACATCACGAAACCTCTCACTTTAACTCTGATTCCTTGGAATTTTCAAGAAATAAAATTAATTTCCTCAATTCACAAAGTTTTAGAGATATTTTAAACTGAATTCAAAACATAAATTCTTAAATTTGTGTTACTTTAAACTCAATATAAATTAAAAACTTTTAAAATCACTAATTTTTTTCAGTTATTTTAAAATTTTAATTTTTAACTGTTTCTTCCTCATCTAGACATGTCCCAATGCTGGATGTTAAAGCACAGGGCATATTTTTGATCCCAGGATCATTCTGATTCCAAAAAGTTACAATATGTCTATGTGGAACAAGTGTGACCCAAGTTAGAGGGGGTTTCAGACAGACAGACTGATATAATAATTTACTGTTTATTTATTTAGATAGATTTCCATATAACTGGAGACTGAGATCATTTGTCAAATCTGATTTTAAAACCAAAATTCCCCATCCATTTTTTCATATACTGGGTGTGATGAATTAATTGTCATTTAAATTACACAAAAGTGAAAATAACACTGACATCACATTTTAACAGATATATTTACCAAAATTACACAAAAGGTCTAAAATCCTAACTGGAAATAAATTTGAAGCAGTGGAAAATATGGAAACTGAGGATGAAAACAAAAGGAAAACAATTCCAAAACAAAATCAAAAAATTAGTCAGAAGACACTACAAAAACTTGAAGTCAAAACCAAGCAATCCAGAAGCTAAAAACAAACTAAAAATATCTGTAATCATGGACCTGGAAGACAATACTATCGAAAAACCCAATCATGGTACATAAAATTATGCAATGAAATTGTCATGGACTAAAACCAAACTTCAATGTGTTTCTCATACTCTTGTCGCCCTCAAGGCCCACCTGGATGTCCAAAGGTCTAATACCCATGGCTGATCTATAAGGTGATCACTTTGATCCAGGCGTTGCCTTATCCCATGTCGTGATTATTTTGATCATAAGGTTGGCCATGATCAAATCGTCATCAGGTTGCATGAAAAGGTAATAATTTGAATAAAAAAATAAAAGTTTTTATACATGTTTCTTCATACAAAATTTAGTTTGTTGTCAAAATGTAGCAGTTCGCATGCAGATGTTTCTCAACCCAACCCGCTTCTTAAGTTGGACATGATGCTTTGCTGGCTTGACAAAGTTTGTATTGTTTCTTGTCTGGGGCCTGGAACAACCTCTCTCTTTCTCTCTCTCTGCGATAGTGTCTCAGCATTCTGTTTTTATGGATCCATGCTCAAGGGCATGATGTGCTCTGGGTATGCCAGCACTCTCTAAACAACCAATCAGGGCTTTCCCTGCAAATGTCTAAATATGATGAAATCCCTCCTTAGAATTCTACCTGGGCCTTCTCCTTATTTTGGTCACCTGATCAAATTCGTTTCCTTCCTGCTTTATGTGAGTGCCTCTCACCATTACTGCCCGAGGGGTGGAGAAAGTCCTCTACCTTCCCTGAAATCCCACCTGGGCCCTCTCCTCATTGGTCATCTGACCAAACTTGTCCCCTAAGAGCTAGGCATGGTCTAGCCCAATGGCGAAATTTTAATTATCATTCAAAATTCTTTATCATGCTTTTCTGTGTGGTTGTTTTCACATCTGGAATCTATCATTTTTATCTCATTGTCAACCCTTTGGTCAACAAATGGCAAAAAAGGAACAATCTCTTGATTTTGGGAAGTTTTATTGTTTTTCAGCAGATGAAAAATTTAATTGTTATTCTTTTATCGATTTTCTGCTGGAAACCCATCTGCTCCTAAAAGTTAATACTTATCAATCGACCAAACTCATGGCCAGGGGTGTGTCCTTCTCCTTCGCTCACAATGGTTGTAAAAATATCTATTTCCTTCTGGGAAGTCCTTGGATCTCCAGAATTGCCCGTCAACTAATCTCAGTGCTTAATTGAGACCAGTTGATCTCTTTGTTTTTCCTCTCTGGCAGACGAGAAATTTAATTACTTTCTAGTTTCTTTTTCCAATAAACAAATATCCCTTATATATATATATCTTGCCATATACCAGCAACTAAACAAAGAGGAGAAAGTAAGTTTGCAATACATCAAATGGGCAGTCACAGCTGCCTATGCTCACAATTCGTTCAACGCATATGATCAATTTGTAGTGTGGCAAGTTCTTCTGGAGGAGACAGGAAACGAATATCTGGTAGATTTGTAATGACTTGATCTGCTTGTTGGAGATTGACATATGGTCTGCACATTCATTTCAGGACTGCCACAGCATGTAAAATGGCTACTACAGGTGTCATCAAGAATAGATGCCATGATGTTGGAACAACTAGTGTCCTGAGTCCAAGCCATCACTTATCAAGGAATGTGATCAATCACAACAGTCGCACCAAACGATGCAATGTTTTTGATGTAATAAGACCGGGCATGTTGGAACAGAGTGTCAGGGAAATGCCTTGGGGGAGGGGGAGTCATCAGTGTTAGCTTGCTCCCCAAGGAAGTGAAGAACGAGGTGCTGCCAACAATTGACATATTTGTGAATGGAAGAAGATGTACCGCATGAGTAGACACTGGATGTATGCAAACGCTGATCAGAAGATTTGTGTACCACTCCTGGAGCCCTAGCGAGTTGAACGTGCTAAGAGCTGACAGAAAAAACACTAGAATGCTTGCAGGCGAGGTTGGATCCAGTTGTACATGTTGAGGCCCTGGTGGTGGATATGCAGGTATTGGGGTTTGAACTCATACTTGGGATTGATGCTATAAGGGCATTATCATCACATCAGCCGGAGTAGTTAGCTTTGCTGGGAAAAAGGCAACCATGTGCACAGCAATCCATCTTGATAAAGCCAGATTTCCATGTAGAGTTCAACCAAACACAGAATCGTTGGACTGCTGAGTGGAAATGGTCCAGGAGATACGTGCTAGAGCTTCTGCACTACAAGATACCAGAGTACCGAGTTCCCAAATGTGTCAGAAGGAACTATGAAGCTGAATTGTTATATGGAATAGCTGGCTGTTGCCCTACCCCCAAAAAGGCTTGGACGACCTAAAGGACCGACTCCCTTAATGGCTCTGATCCAACACACAAAGCACAAAGTGTGTCCAGTTATGGACTACAGGGAGCTTAATGAGCATGTTGACGCATTTACTACTAATGCTGATGTCTGCAGCAAAGTTGAGGGAATGGCACAAGGAAAGCATGAATGAACCATTACTGGATTTGAGGAAAGTAGATTTGCATTGATGAATCATTGTGGCCATATCAGACAGTGGTATTTAAATGCCAAATGTATTGCCTCACATGGCTAGGTTTCAGTCTGAATGTAGCACTGCTCATCATGAAATCTATCATTGATGCAGTGATGTCCCAAGACCAGACAATCAAGAGTGCCACATCAGCATATGTCGATGACATTTTCGTCAACGAAAATTTAATCTCAGCAGCATGTGTAAGGAATCATTTATCCAATTACTGATTTGTTTGTAAGTATCCAGAATAATTGCAAGACAGTGCCAGGGTCGTTGGCCTGCAGGTCTGGGGGGAGAATGGGACTCTCTGATGGAAGTGGGGAAATGAAGTCCCAGACATTCCCCATGTTGTATGCAGGAAACTTATGGGTCATTTTCCTGTCCGTAGCTAGATCAGGGTGGCTTCATCAAGCAAATGCAATATCCAACAGCTGGAATTCCATTATGCCTTTTCTGACATTCAATAGCCCAGAAGGCATTGATGTGCGATAAAACTGATCAATCAATCGATCAAACTAACAAGTGTTGATCTCTATCTATAAAAGGCAAGATGTGTGTGTGTGTGTAACGAATGCATGGCCGCAATTTTCGACAGATTTGCACCAAAATTTACATGCACATGCTCCAAGTTAGCGGGAAGGCCAAGATCAACTTTGCATTTCCCAACTCCCATCAATAGTGGAAATAATTGATTTTTTCATGCTTCTACGGCAGTTTTCATGTAGTTTGCAGCCATTTTCTACTGGTCAGAGTGAGAGCCTATAGTTGGCTGCCACGAATAGGCAGGAAGATTTTATTGGCCAGTGTGAGAGCCAACAGCTGACTGACACGAATGTTAACTAGCATGCAAAAAAAAAAAAATAGATAGCTGTATTTGTCACAAGTGGGAAAAATTTAAATCTGCATGGCACTTTACTCCAATTGGCTCATTCGCTTGCTTAAACTCAACGTTGATTCTGATTCCGCAAAACTGGGTTGGGTGTGAAAAAGTATTTGTTGTTAACATTCTTTTTTCATTTGGTTTTTCCAGTTACGAGTCCTTTTTTAAAGCTGATCGTTTTGTGTTCATTTTGTTTAGTTTTTTCTTAACAGATTTAATGTTTAGTATAGAGCTTAGAAAAAATTTGCAGTGTGAGATAGGCAAGAAGTAAGGCATGTAGCAACATCAGCACAGAAAAGGGCACTCCTTTAAAGGCAAGGAAGGGCAAAAATATTTTAAGTCAAGTGATAGCGATTGTTGTATGAGTTGTACGATTTTTGAATCAAGCACGGGCAACGCCGGGCCATGCTGGTAGTATGTCATAAAATTAACGAATCCTAATAATTGGATTAGCAAAAGAAATATTTCAAAAGCTAAGCAGCATGCTGAGAAATGGAAAAAAATTGTTAGAAACAAAGAGTGTTTGATGGCTGTGTGATATCCATCCTCTTATATGGCAGTGAATGTTGGACAATCTCTCCACTGAAGAGGCAGCAGAAATGTGGTTCTACAGAGGGATACTGAGAAGTCCATGGACAGAGTGAAATCTTAAAGAAAATGGTAACAGAAAGAACAATTATACTTAGAATCAGGAAAGCTCAAATTCCTTGGAAATATAATGAGGAAGTAGAGTTTGGAAAACTTAATCCTCATATAGTATACTGAGAATCAGGTCAACCTGATAAGAGACTTGGTTGTGTGTGGTGCTGTAAGCAACAGGAGTTATGTCCTCTTTCACAATGGGCTGTTGAGAGAATATTCTACTTAGAGTAGGTGGTGCTGACTGTTTGTATATGAATGTTACTGGGCAGGTATTAACCAATTGTCAGTGTGGATCTGGGACTGGGAGAGCTATATAACACCAGTGTCTTTCTCAGTCAAGGGAAAGTACTCTTGATGTGTGAAAAACCAGACAAGACAAACACATATACTGAGGGCAAGAGAAATAAGGAAAGACAGCGAGTTACTTTCCTGACAAGTTTTTGTGAATGGATGGCAGAATGGGGGCAAGAGTCTTAGCAAGGGGAGAAAAACTGCTAAGAGCCACATAGAATAAGAACTTATGAAGAGCTATGATTATCTATGTCCTGAAGGAATACAGCACATAGAAGAAGAATTTTGTGGCACAATGGGTCCCTGCGAACAAATGGTTGAACATACAAAGTATTGGGAGTATTTTAATGGTTGGAAGATAAAATCATTGAAGTCTTGTGTTCAAAGATGCAAACCAATTTGATCAAAGAGGAAGAAAATAAACAAACAAACGGAAACATGGAGTCAAGTGACACTTCATCAGAAACCAGATGCTTCCATTTACAGCTTTATATAAGTAAAGTCATGGTTACAGTGGGACAAAGAGAGGAGCCATCTGTCCAACCAGTCATGTCAGTAGCAGTCGATCAGCAGAAGAAAAGAAAAGAGATGAAGGGACTTATTGACCCCTACCTACTATTGTAACAGGGTAACAACATTTTATCAACATTTTATAACTAGAACTGTAAAAATGGCACTTTGGAAGTCAAAATTTAAATTAAAAAAAACTAAAACCTGGTTTAGTAAATTCAACTCTGGCTTCAGTATGACATGAACACTGGACCAGAAATTGGAAGAAGGAAATGAGAAGTCATGTCGATAACTGATAAAGTAAGATTAATGTGTTTTCAAATGCAGATATCAGTACAAAATAACTTTCAACCATGACAAAGTTGGTGTGCTAGTAAGTGGCATGTGGATGTTTTTTTACAAACTCCACCTGGGTGGTCACAGTATCTGTTAGAAAGGAATTAGTACAAGGCTTAAAAAATGATGAAGGCAAAATTAATTTGAAACTAAGGACTAGAGAGAAACCAGATGGCCCTTTTCTGTGACAATTTATAATTATGACTATTTTGATTTTCTGATGAGGAATACTTCACCAGCAAGAAAGCCATCTAGCTAATTTAAGGGAATACAGAAATGATAACACATGAGCTATGAGCATTGTAAATTGTCATTTTCTAAGGTTTAGATAGGTAAAGAGTAGTCATTGTTATCGGGGAAGATTTTCCCATATAAGAAAGCGTGCATTTTGCTTGGTAGTCATTTTCCATGAGAGGAGCAAAAGTGTGGGATTTGAGCACGTAGACAGTGACTAGAGAAAACCCTTAAGCGCCATTTCATCAGTTGGTTCTTTGTGCTGCACCAGAAAGTTTTTCTCACCTGAGTTCATCCTTCACATCGACAAATCTACAATTCATCCATGCATTGAATACTGTAGCCATATATGGTCTGGTTCCCCCGCTGTTCATCTTGAAGTTCTCAACAAATTCCAAAGACGGATATGCAATGTGATTGGTGATGATTTACTCCTTCCACAGACACCCAGTCTCAGCTAAACCGCCATCTTGTCAAAGGAAACTACAACAACAAACAAAAAGGAGATCACTCCAAACAGACTTCCTTTTATCTATAGACAAGAGGAGACAACTCAACAGTCTTAACTCAGATTAACAATTGGTACTGACCTAGCATCTCATTTTCAGTCACTTTCTCACAGATGTGATGTGGCTTCCCTCTGTCTTTTTTTTTATATATTTTCATGGCAACTGCTCTGATGAGCTATTTTCACTGGTGCTCCAACTGCATGAATTTAAGCATGCTATCTAGGTTGGCATCTCAGTCCCACCCTTTTACTGTTGAAAGAGTTAAATGTAACCACCTTTTCTACTACAACAGCTTCTTCTCTCCCATTTCCCGATAGTGAAACTCTCTTCCTCTTACTTGCTTCCCCAATAACTATAATCTTCAAAAACTTAAATGTAATGTCCATTGACATCTTCTGATGCCCGATCCTCATTCTTCTTTTTATCTTTTCCTCAAACCCCCCCCACTATACTCAGTCTTTTCTCTTACTTTCACTCTCTGTAACCCCTTGCATATTAGTGGCACTACTGATTTGTTTGGAGTAAAATGCTTATTAAAAGAAAGAAATTCAATTCTGTAGATGATTTTTTTCTCTTCACATTAAATTCTGTTAAGTTTACAGAATGTGTTTGGTTTGTTTATCAAAGAACTTTTCTTCCTCTCAAGCGACCACCAACACTTGATTGCAACCAGTAACCAGAAACAAAAGGTTACCAAATTGTGGGGAGATCGATTTCATTTTCTGCAGAGATACAACAACAGAATTTGGGTCCAACTACTGAGAATTGTCATCAGACAGACTCGTGGAACTGGGAAAGGCTTAATCTCTGTTCAAGTGGCATTGTTTGCACTTGTTCCTGGGCATGATGTAGTCAGCTGATACTGACAAATTTCCTGATCCCCCCCCCGGTTATATCTGGTGCAGCAAACCAACCAATGCTGTGACAAGGTGATGACCACAGCCCCAGGCCGCCCAGTTAAACCATCAAAGAGAATACTATATTCAATTTG